GGTAATAGAAGCTATTTATGTAGACCATCCATGGTATAATTTAAAGTTATCAGTTGTCGTTTACACCTTATATTTTATTGTCTACCATATGGTGTAAGTATATATTAATTTTGAATAAGATCAAATTTAGAGTAAAACATATTACATTATCATTTAAAACAGTGGTTCTCAACCTGAGACGCGCCCCCTGGGGGGCGTGAGAGAATTTCAGGGGAGGCGTGAGGGTACAAAGAAAAAAAAATAAAAATTATAAAATATGTATTTTGTTAAAAAACAAAATATTTTGTATTTCGTATTTTTATTTTGTTTAGAAATATTTCTTTACTTACACGTGATTAAAATCGTTTTATTCAAACACACAACCTGAGTTAAACACGACAGTCTTGTGTATGGCAACATCGTAGGAGCGCAAAGTATATTTACCAACACTGTATTGCCAACACACCTGGCTCCGCTCCAGTTCTGTAGTTCAGTGTTCGCATAGATAAGAAGGTTAGTTAGGTTAAGCGTCTGTGTGCTGTTTGTAGCAATCAGTGTAGTTGTTATTTAATAAGAGAGTGATTGTTTGTGAATTATTTAATAGTGTTGTGTAACAGCTTTAAAAATGGCTAAGTCACTTCCAAAGAAAAGATTGTATTCAGACGATTATATCCAGTATGGTTTTACCTTTATGGAGAAAAACGGCATTCATTTACCTCAGTGTGTCAACTGCCATGCTGTTCTTAGTAATGATGCAATGCGCTCTGGACGTTTCGAACGGCATCTAATTACAAACCATTCTTCTTTGAAAGATTAAGGCCCAGAATATTTTATTGCCAAAAAAAGCAGAATAAAACGTATGAAACTTGACTCTACTGCAAATATTTGTGTTGAAAATGAGAAAGCTGTGGAAGCATCATACAAAATGGCACTTTTGATAGTTAAATACAAGAAAACAAGATACTATTGGTGAGTCACTTATAAACTTGGCTTACTTGCTGCTTGTAGTACCGTACTTAGTGAAGACAGTTGTAAGAGAGTATCAAAAATTTCTCTCTCAAACGACACAGTAAAACGTAGAATTGATGACATGGCTCTGGATTTGAAAAATCAACCATTGCAAAAATTAAAAGGTTCACCGTTTTTTCTTTGCAGTGTGACGAAACAACTGATATTTCAAAGCATACACAGTTATTGTTTTACTGTCGATTTATTGACACAAAACTGTTCCTGGAGGAAATATTGTTTTCAACATCTCTTGAAACAACTAAAACCATTGACCATAGGTCAAACTTACTTTACTTTTTCGCGTTCAGTGTTCTACATACTGGCTACTTGGAGTTCGCTTTAACCGGACTAGGTAATTGTCAGATGGCCCTTCTAAGGCCAGTTCGAGGAATCTATTGCGGGATTTTAATCTTTTGGAATAGTTTTCAGCTCCAGAAAGAGGGTGGTGTTCATTAATTTTCTGCTTGGTCCGTTGCCTGAATTCTTCTGCTTTTTGCGGCAGTTGGGGTCAGCAAAATCTTGACTGATTCTCCATGTATTCTGAGTCGGTTGGGTGGAAGGAGCTTACTTGAGTCTTGGCCGTGTTAGATTTAAGTGAGTGATTTAGGGGTTTAGCATAGTGTTGAGGGTCTCTTCTAGTTTAATTTTCACTTCCTTAAAGGTTCCCTCTTGCGCAGCGATAGAAATGTCATCAGCGACAGGAAGTTTTCTGTATACTTAGATGTTGATTGGCTTTTTATGTATATATTGAAGAGGATAGGAGCCAGGACTCTACCTTAGCAAGAAAATTTTGTCTTTTTTTTTGTAGAATTTAAAATTTTTTGTAGAATTCGAGAAGATGGATGAATATAGGTACCTACTCTTATTGATCAGAAATGTAAGGAAGAAACTGAAATCAACCTGAGACTAACCAAGAGCAACAGGTGCGCTGGAGCCATGAGCAAAATAATTAAGGCCAAAGATATATCTCGTAATACAAAAATAAGTGGCTAATGGATTAAGTCCACAGTCAAAAGAAACCAAGAGCACAAAAATAGAATATACAAAACTATAATTAGACCCACAATGCTATACGCTGCCGACACATGGAATATGAACAAAACCATACAGAACACATTGGAAGCATGGGAAAGAAAGATACTTCGCAGAATATTTGGTGGAAAAGTAGTAGAGGGAGAATGGAGAAGACGAGCTAATGCAAAAGTGTTACCATTTTTATGCTAACCTACAATAACAAAAGTGGTAAAAAAACGTAGACTAGAATGGCTCGGTCATCTACAAAGAATGCAAGGTAATAGACTAGTCAAGAATATTGCTTGGAGAGTACCTGAGGGCAAAAAAAAGAGAGGAAGACTTGTTGCGTTCTGCACATACGATGACCTCAATATAACAATTACGGTCATCCTGAAGGGGGAGAGATATTCTGTTCAATCTAGAACTCGCTGGTTTCCCCCTTTCGAAATGGGTATGTATATTCAAATAAAAGAAGAGAAATGAAAGGCAGCAGACTGTATAAAACTCTATTTTAAAAAAGCTGTAAAATTAATATAAATAAATATAGCTGTAAAATAAATATACATAACCAAATATACCATTATAAATTAAAGAAGAATATATTACTTAAAGAAGAAGAATATATTACAAACTTAACTATTAGCTACTAAGAAACATCACAGACGACACACCAAAAAAACAATCATAAACCAAACAAAACACAAATGTCGATTCTATAAAAAACCACTGACCAAAACAAAAGACAAAACCTGCCATAGCCGCAAACATACTATACATAAAAAGATAAAATTAATAATCTTACAAAAAAATCAACCTAAATAAATATTTTAACGTTGTAAAAACAAATTAAGAATGCGGTGCATACAAATAATTAATAAGTACAATTATTAATACAAAACATACAAGAAATAAAATCGGTGTTAACAAAATATACAATACAGTAAATCATCATCACAGTCATTAACATCTTAGTAGATGTGTTGTAGTTCATAATTGGGCTTCAGCAGCTCGGACAGTTTGATTGATAATATTTCTCCACTGGTCGCGGTCATCAGTTATATGTATTGCCTCAGTATACTGTTTATTGAGAAGCTTTTTAGTAATGTCCGCCCATCGCTGTGGAGATCTTCCGCGTTGGCGTTGAGTCTGAGGCCTTCCTTGGGCCACCAACCGCTCCATTTTGTGATCACTTCGACGGATATTGCCAAAGAACTTTAAAATTCTAGAGTAAACGGTACTGGAGAGACGCTGATCCGGTTTAATTTCATCCAGAACCGAGATATTTGTACGGCGAGCCGTCCATGGAATTCGAAGCAGGCGTCTCCATGTCCACATTTCAAAGGCGTCTATACGTCGTCGATCTGATTCTTTGACTGTCCATGTCTCGCATGCATAGTAAAATATGGAAAAGACCAGAGTTGAAACGAGTCTCTTTTTGTTTGTCATAGTAATGTGACGATCACGCCAGACCCCGTTATTCACTCATTGCTGCTCTTGCTAGTTGAATTCGTCTTCTAATTTCGGATTCACAACTGCCTGTGTTGTTAACTAAAGCTCCAAGATATATCATAGATGAGACTACCTCGCATCCCGCAATAGTTTGGGTTTCAGGAAACTGTTGTTGGCGATCAATAACCATGATTTGGTTTTGTTGTAGTTAACCATGAGTCCAAATTTAGCACTTTCTACCTCGAGTTTTTTTTTACAGTAAATACACCGAAACAAATGCAAAATGTCCAATTTACAATGTTCAATCTCGATCGCGGCACAAATGCGATGAAGTTCCAAATATCAAATAAATATACCAAGTGCTACTTAATATATGCAGCAACAAAGTAGTATGGTGTATTGTTTCTTACCCCATGAAAAAGATAGCCCCAACGCTATCACAAATTATGTCTTCAGCGACACTTCAACTACCAAAAGTTATGATGCACATTAGCGTCTTTCTTGGCCGATGCGGAATCAGGTACTCTTCGTCTTCACATACACATGTTCATCGTTTGAGAGATACTTTTCGACTCTGATTTTGTATGGAACGCAAACCCTTATTTTAGGTAGACACACATGTGCTGATATTTCACAGATGGTCCGCCTTGCAATCTTTAGCCCTTAAAACGGCTGTGTCACTTACACGAAAATCTGGTTTAAAATATACGAGGAGAATAGAAACTATTAAAAAGTCTGTTAATACATTTACAAATGTTTATATACAGTTACGAAACTGCAACAAGACTAAGAAAGAAATTGAGAGATGTAGTGATGGAAGATGTCAGAGAGATAGGAATCAGAGATTTGAAGATGTTAGCTAAAAATAGAACACGATGGAAATTATCCATCCAGCAATAGGCCTAAAAGGCCTGTTAACGCTGTACATACATACATGCATCTAGGAGTGACAAAGACCTTGCGTAACAGACCGATACCGTTAGTGATAGTCCCATCGAACCAACACGAAAATCGTGTAATACTATTAGTTTATCTGTAATTTGATTTATATTTTCCATAAGAGCCAACTGAATATCCTTGTAAATTTTACCATAAATGCTCTCAGCCTGTATCTAATGTACTTTTAATAATAAATATTTTTCACTTGTAGGTACCTTGGTGCAAGTGCCATGTTGGGTTACTTTCTTTATCCAGTTTTTAATCTTATGTCAGCAACAGGAGTGGCTACTTTCATATTTTCCTACTATGTATGGAGTATCATCTTAGTTGTAATTTGCATTCAAATAGAAAAATGGAAAGGCAACTCAGAAAAATCAAGGAAATCAGATTTAAAAAAATGTTAATAAAAATATTTGTACCAAACACTGTGAAATATTATATAAAAATATATATAAAAATTAGCTTAAGCAATACCTACGAGTTCGTCGATATTTTCCGACAAACTCGTTGCTATTTCTAGAATTTTTATTTTAATCCAATTTTGCCGAGGAAATAAGTAATCCAGAATCGTTTTCATATTATAAAAACACCAAAGGTATAAAAACACTATATTGAAATGGAATAAAGCTTTTAATAACATAAATATATATTTTATACATCTTAATTCTAACAAATTATTATAAATAATGACTAGGATTTTATGACGGCCAATAAAAAAACTAATAAAATAATAGTCGAGGCAAGAACAACTATAGCGCACATTTTTCTATTCTTTCTCTGGTAAGCGTCGGCTTTTTGGAGCTGCTTAAACCCTTCATGAACTTGTATAGTCGTTTGTTCAATATTGTAATCGATCCTATCTAATATTGTTCCTTGATCTACCACCATCTGACTTAGATCTTTGAATATTTCGTTGAGGTCTATTATAGACTTAACTATAGCATTTACTTCCTGTTCCCGTTCATTGGCGAATCTACAATAAAAATAAAGTACAGTTAAAACTCATAGCCTTCTCAAGAATTTTCCTCAAGTCTAATAATAATAGCTAATTTTAGATTATTTTAAAAAGCAGTAAAACATATACACATATTTATCATTCACTCATTATTTTGGTAGGTAGGACCTCTGTCGAGATGTTATGAGTATCATAGAAGAGATAGTTTACCGCTAGTTGATCAATAGTAGGGTGTATGCCACATGTAATTTAAATGGAAATTAAAACTAATATCAGATCCCTTTATTTTACCAAATATTTCTTTCATTATTAACTTTTAATCGCCTTTTTCTAAATGTGCCTATCTTCTAGAGATGTTGACGACCACATTGACCCATCTTATTCTATTCACAGCAGCTCGAAATAGATCAGTTGACGTTAGACCACTCCACCAGTTATCCCACAATAAATAAGAAATAAATTAAAGAACAAATTATTTTGCAATCAATTTTTAGACTATATCATATTTGAATAACACATGGCACTAGTTTAATAATAGTCCATCACATACATCCAGCTTTAAAAAAGCATTACAAAACTACCTAAAATAATGATTTAAACAAAATACATAAATGCTTATAAATAAAAGATCAAAGCAAGTGATATATAAGCTCTACAACCTAGTGACTAAATACAAATCAAATTAGAGATTTGGCAATTTTATTATTGAACCAATTTGTATATTAAAAAATTATGGTAATTTTTAAAATGTACATAAATCCTAAAAATATGCAACAAAATAAGAGTTTGCTAAGTCCATCGAGATTTATTGTGCTACGAGTACTCAGAATAGAAACATAAAACCTAGCAGTAGAAAAAGAGGTAGTACAAACAGTAAAAAATCTAGATACACAAATAGCAATATGACAAAATTAGTCAGTAGACTGGTAAAGCATATAAATACCAACATAATTTCACTAAAAACAAAAATGCGGGTAATATAATGAATAACATTAATAAATTCAGATGATATGAGTAATAATTGACAAACATAATTGATAAAAAGTGAGACTGACCTGCAGATGTTACTAAATACAATTTGTGATACTGGAGAACAATTTGGTTTAACAATAAACATAAAGAAAACAAAAACCATGGTTATCAGTAAGAGGGGCAAAGTCATTACAAGGATCTAGATAAAAAAAAATGAAGATATTGAGCAAGTGGACAAAATGAAATACTTAGGAGCCTGGATTATAGAAGATCTGAATCCGAAATCAGAAATTCGCTCAAGAATAGAGCAATCAAGAGCAGTCTTTTTGAAGATGAGGACATTTCTCAGTAACCAACGACTCAATCTGCAAATACGATATTGGATGGTAAAATAGTATATCCACTCTATTCTTCTTAATGGTGTTGAATCATATTAAGGAAGAAATGGTGTTGCACAGAAAGGGAAAAGAGAGAACTTTTGACTACCAGGAAAAGGCAAAAAACAGCATTTTTGGCACATACTTAGAAATGATAAGTACAAGTTGTTGCAGCTGATTATGAAGGGTAAAATCAAAGGAAAAAGGGGTCCTGGTAGACTACATATACCCTGGATGAGAAACATTCATTACTGGACTGGGTTAAACACACAGACACTCTTAAGAAAAGCAAAAGATAAAGACGAATTTGCAATGGTTATAGCCAACCTTATTAGAGACGGCACTAGAAGAAGAAGAATTGATAAAAATAAAAATATAGAAAGTGAAACATCTCATCAAACTCAATAACAACAGGGTTGAACAAAAGATATGTACTTATATTACAAAAAATTCCAAAAATTCTTGGATGATTGATTTACCTAAACTAGTGCAAAGCTATAGGTGTATTTATATACCAAAATAAGAAAACTGTACCTGGTATTTTCTTCTTCCAACATAAGCAGCTGCTGTTGTGTTACTTGTTTAGAGTTTATGAAATGGGTGTCAATATCCTCAGTGTCTTGTTGGTAAACATCGTCAAATTCATTTTGATCAAAGTAAATCTTGGATCTATCTTCCCTGGACTGTATTTGTCTCAAGTAGCTGTTTTGTGTTGATCTAAAGTAAGTTGATAGTTCCTGTAAAGCAGTGGCCAGAGAGTGGTATACATTCACAGTCAGTCTTCTCTCTTTTGGAACACCTTCTGAAGCGTGGCTCTTGATAATCTGTACTAACCTATGACATTCATTAAACATTCTTGTTATCTCATGAGTGCAATTTTCGATAGCCACCTCATCTTCTGAAGATTCATCAAACGTTGATTTATGTAGGTGTTTTGCATGAAGAGATTTGAGATCGTTTATTTTGGATTTCAGCTTTGGAATGATCATTTGTGCCTTTTCTAAGTAGTCTATCCATATTGGCGGCATTCTCACTTCATTTACCTCGTTTATTCCCTCTTCCAAATCATTGAGAGATACCAAATGCATTCTTTCAGACGAATCCTGAAATATTTTCCAAAATATAACAAAAAATCAAGAGTTTTAATGATTATTGTACTTACATGTTCGGGGTAAATGTGTCTACTTCGAATTGCATTATTCCGCATTAATAAAAACACGTCTGTTAAACTTCTAGAAGCCATGTTGTTTTAATAACTTAAAAGTTTTAAGTTATATTAACAATTTATAGAAAATAACTTAGAAAATCACATAATTTTGACGTTCGAACAAAATAAACTTCTCCTCTACCATAATAAATACTGCCCTGTATTGACATAAACGACGTGTAGCGCACAGTTGCCAAATGTAATTTACTGGTCTTTGCCTCTACTGAAAATTCAGGAACTAAAAATATACAACATTTACAATTTAAACATTTAAAGAATTCGACTATAGAATTTTCTAATCTCATAAACTACTAAATGTAATGAGTGTTTGTGTACAGTTAACTAATTATTTTTAGTTCCTTTCTAGATATGCGTACTTCCACATAACTCTTAGCTGACTAATCGATAAAATACTAATAAACCAACCTTATCTAACTACATAAATGTTATCAAATCGATAAAACCTCACGTTAACAAAGTTTAAAATTTTTATTGCAAATTACTTCTGCTTTTATTGCTTACTATATGTTACGATAAACACAATGAAAATAGTTGATTAGAATAAGACAATACTTATAATTACAATAAAAAATTATATTGGAAACTTTAGATAATTAATTATATGTTGATCAATAGATCCAATAATATAAATAAATAATTTTTTATAAGTTTAAATAAATTACATAAACTATTTTTTGATTCTTACTTTTATTGAAAATTATTTTTCATACAAGTTTCAGTCTGGTCCAAAATCTAAACTTGAAACGCGACGCGTTCCAACGGCTAATAGGCAACACCATGCAGATAAGTAGGAGAGGTGCGAATAAGCTTTAACGAAATAAACATCAGCGGATCAACGAATGACCTGTACATAGGGCAGCACTCATATCATTAATGAATCAAAACTATTGAAGCATATTTTTTGACTCAAATAATCCAGCTATTATATACGAAACACATACTTATTGACCCATAACAAGAAATTAAAGTGAGAATTGCTCAAGCTGAAGATAGTTTCTTCAAGATACGTGTTCTATACTGCGATAAATATCGATATCAAACTAAGATTGAAACTTTTGGTCTGTTGTTTTTTATGTCGAAACGTGGACTGTAGAGGTAAATAATCTGAATAAGTTAGAGGCATTTGAAATGTGGGTGTACCGGAAATTTTAAAAATTTCTTGGATTGCGTGAAAAACAAATGAAGAAGTTCTAAATAGACTAAATATAGAACAACAACTATTAAAAACGAATAAATAAGAAACACCATTTATATTTGTACCATTTGCTACGTAATAATAGTAATACACTTCTCAATTGATTATTAAAGCCAAAATAGAGAGCAAACGAGGTATTGGGAGGAAAAAATTATTCTGGCTGCGTACTTTTAGAATCTTTGAATGCGTACAGCGGAAGACAGAGAAATGTTTACCATTATAACCGCTAACTTCCAATAATGGAGACGGTCATAGACATATATTACAAATAGACTGGCTGTTGCAATACTCCCGTTTCCTCAGTACGACAGAAAACTGCCCATATTTTCAAACATAATACCAAGCACATCTGAATGTAAATATCGATGAGAATATATTAAAACTTTGTATTATTATTATACATCTCAGTCAATGATAATTTTGCAGTTAATAACTACTCCTGGTAGAGTACTTTTGTTTTAATTTTTATTGCCTGCTTTAATTACAGATAAATATATTTTTACACATTCTCGCCGAAATACGAGGCGACGTAACTCATAGTTACCTTAAAATTAGACGTGTTTTAAAAAACAAATGTATTCGATTTTGAACTTTAGTACTTTATAAGTGAAGAATTTCAATTTTTATTTAGAAATAATCATCTCATATAAAGTCATCTCTACTTCACAAGTTTGGCTATTAAAATTGGCAAAGTAGAGGTACAGAATAAAAAACAATTGTTTTTACTATGTGGTAGAGTTACCTATTACCCTTTAAATAAAAAGATACATTTCAGTATGCTTTTACCCTCTAGATAGTATAAAATAATTATTGCTTTTGCCATAGATTAAAAAACCTTATCTTGTGCTTTGACCTACCAGCTACCAGATGACATTGGAATCATTGGATTGATTGGATGGATAGATTCGATACATTTACCCGGCTGTCAATTTTTCATAACAACTGCCTTTGACAAGATATTTTTTTTGGAAGAGCCACAGTATATATCGTAAATAGTAGTGTAAGTGGAATAGTATAGGTGGGGAAAGTGAGTTGTATAAGCCCAACCGTTCGTAATAGCGACGGCGGTACTAGTCACGTCATTATGTATGACATAGCAAGAGGCATATGACGTTGATGTAAGTGCTGTTGCCATAGTTTCACCAGTTTTGCATATTTACCAAATAATGATATACTGTTTTCCAAAAAAACAAAGATTGTAACAAATTCTACTAAGATCACAACTTAAACCTACAATAACTTATTACTAAAAAAATTTGAGTATCCACCGAAAAAAAAAAATGTTCGCTAACATTGTAATCCATGCCTTTGCAAATTGCAAATGGCATTATAAAAAATTGTGTCGCAAATTTTAGAAATAGGACATAAAAACAATATACATCAATGTTTATTTGTATCTACTAAACTTTTACAGTTGCAGTGACGAAATGGTACCTGAATACCGTTTTGTTAATGTATTAGTTAGATACTGGAACTTGTTTAGATCTACACATTTAAATTGTGTGAATGTGTGTGTGTTCAGTAAATAAAATTTCGATTTAAAATAATGCCTACAACAATTGTTAAATCTGAAAGGTAATTAAATGTAGCAGAAATTCGGCAAGAAAAAACAAGTTGAGATACGAAACTGAACTCACTCTTCTTTATTGAAATTAGGTATAGAACCTTTTAAAGGCATAAGGAGACATGCAGAGAGTGATCTATTCATTAACCACCGTGTATCCTAAAATAAGTTAATTAAAACTATAACATGCAATATATCAAAGTTCTGTGAATTTTGTGCAGAATCCAAAAATTTTATAATATAACCAATGTTTCATTAAAATATTAAAGTTGGTATCATAGTAATTGATACATAACATCAGTCAACATCCTGTATATAAATAACAAATTTATTGGAAAAAATGCGCAAAAAGTTTTTTTTAAATACTTTTAAAACCATTTAAAAAACCTTTATTTTGATTTGCTATTATTTACTATTTATTTTAGAGTTATTCTTATAATTTAAACATTATTAAATTTATCAAACGGGTTAAAGAGATGGATTGAAGTAATTATATTATTAATTTATAAAAAAAATGTTTGCAACCAACAATACACATAAACCTCATTGACACATTCAGAAATGGATACAATTGAACTGCGCATGTCTGCACATAAGAGTAGGTCAGGCTCTAGACGGTAGTCTCTTTCGCGATGTATTAAAACAACATGGCAACACTGTAAAATACAAAATTTTCCTTGATTTGTAGCTAACTTCACTAGAATTTTTAAAATTCAGAAGCTACATTTTTATATTTGCCGCCAAATGAAATTAGTTTCAGCCCGTCCGCGTTTGGCGCTAGAAACTTTCTCAAAATCTTTCTATTGGACTTACTCTACTACAGGGCTACGAGCTATGTACTCTGGGATTCTGGGAAGAGCGCAGGTTGATTGTAATTGTAAGGTTAAAGTCCAAACTTCACTTATTTTATTTATACAGTAATTGTAGTTCTATTATTTAAGTTTTTTAAAATGGCTAGAGTTTTAGTTGGAGTAAAAAGAGTAATCGACTATGCCGTAAAGGTAAGCAGGTAAATTAATTATTTCAAAATAATGTTTTTTCTTGTAAACTTTCAGATTCGAGTTAAGCCCGATAAAACAGGTGTCGTAACCGATGGAATAAAACATTCAATGAATCCCTTCGATGAAATTGCTGTAGAAGAGGCTGTTCGTTTAAAGGAGAAGAAAGTTGCTTCTGAAATCATTGCTGTATCATGTGGACCAGCACAGTCCCAAGAAGTTCTAAGAACTGCTTTGGCTATGGGGGTTGATAAAGGAATTCACGTTGAAGTTTCTGGACCTGAATACGAAACTTTGCAACCAATACATGTGTCAAAAATTTTAGCCAAGATTGCTCAGAATGAAAAAGCTGATCTAGTGATTGTGGGAAAACAGGTAAGCAAATGTTTTGAATAAACACTACATAAAGTCATACAATTAGTTAAGTAAAATTAATTGATATCTGCTGTATGGTTAAAAGTAGTTCCCATCATCCATATGTTTTTTATTTATTATCAACTCTAACATAATTACTCTTTTAGGCTATTGATGATGATTGTAATCAGACAGCTCAAATGACAGCAGCAGTTTTAGACTGGCCTCAAGCGACATTTACATCCAAAGTAAGTTTGAACTATATACATTTTTTTTATTTCATAGAATTACAATTACTATTGAAATCATAAATAACACAGTATTAGAATGCTTAAAAACAGCAAATCTATAAACAAACTCTTGAAATACACCATCCAATGTTTTACATTCATCTAACTCTACAACTTCTCTGTGGGTTTTGACATATTCAACAATTGTACTCCACTCCTTTTATATCTAACAAGTCTGCAACAACATTTACATAAGCAACTGAGTACAACAAGGATCCATGTTATCTTCAATCTATAAAATGTTAACAACATCCAAATATCAAGCATAATATATGCAGATGATATAATACTTTCATCACAGAGTGAGACATTGGATTATAAAACATCTCAAACTAGTTAAATAATGCATACCACAGCAACATCATTGCCTGGAAAGATAAATGAAAAAATTCTAGGGTGGATAATTCATTACATGTTCTTGTCTTGGCAGATTAACAAGCTTGTTCCTTAACAAGAAATAAAAACCAGAATTTCTTAAAACTGGGACAACTTTATTAGACTGAGGAGACTGGTTATGTGTCCAGCTCAATCAATACAGAATATAAAGTAAGACGCCAAGATACAAAAACTAATTAATTAGTACACTGCATAAGCTCAAAACAGAATAGTGATATTATATGAAGATAAATCATCAATAAGGCAAAAAAGCATTATGCGATGAGGTAATAAATTACTGGTGTGGTAGAATATATGGAAAATTGACACGGCAATATGTCTATTGAGAATGAAGAATATAACGGTTTTGCAACTTGTTTTGTCATGTCTATATGAGTATGAGTTAAAAGTTTAGTCGTCGGAAAAAACTTAATAAAAAATACTGTGGTTTTGAATTTTAGCCACTTTTAAAGAATGTCATACACATAATCTAATATGTATTGTTTACAATTTTTGAATGTAATTTTAAATATAATCTGTTCACAAACAACTTACGATATTTCTAGGAGGCTCAGTAAAAACTTCAAGAAAAGAGATATATTTGGTTTGTTTTTTTTTTCTTGATAACCATAGATTATTAAGTATTTTAATATTTGAAAATTTGGTTTATTTTAGTTGGAAAAAGGTGACAAAGATCTCACAGTTACAAGAGAAATTGATGGTGGTTTGGAAACTGTAAAATGCAAAATTCCAGCTGTGATAAGTGCTGATTTACGTCTAAATGAGCCAAGATATGCTACTTTACCTAACATTATGGTAAGTGTTTTAAATATTTTTTAACAAATTCATATGAAGGTATGTTAATTTTAGATTATATATCACAATAATCGACTAGAGGCTCTTGAGCCTATCTCCTATAATAAACCTAACCTGTTAATCTCATAACCTATACATCAGATTGTATTTCTCTTGTCAGAAACAGCTGTATGTCACTGTAATATTTAAGAGTATTTAAACTGTTGTCAAATATCACCATTCCACTAAATATTTTCCCTACATTGTCATTTTAAACAAAAATATTAAATCATATTTATTTTTAGAAAGCAAAGAAGAAACCAATTCAAAAACTAACTCCCAAAGATTTAGGAGTTGATATATCTCCAAGAATCAAAGTTATAAGTGTAGAAGATCCTCCAGTTCGCCAAGCAGGAGCTGTTCTTCCAGATGTTGATGCATTAATTGGGAAATTAAAGGAAGGAGGACATGTATGATGTGGAAATGAGAGACACATCTTTTTTACTCAATAAAAAAGTACAACTGAAAGAGCCTACACATATTTTCTACTCCCTATTTTGTTATAGCCATTGTTGTAAATAAATAATAGATTTGCTAAATGCGTATTTTATTGATAAATTTTAATAAACCCAACTTAATAATAAAGGAAATATTGGTAAAGATAAATAACATAAGAGGAGAAATGGGTATTATAGATGTACACAGTTTTTTCTTTCCAGAATTTCTTTGATTTTATTTGAGTTGTAGAGAGGTTTTCTAGAAATTCGAATTAGTGAGATGGGATCAAATTATCTTATTAACAGAGTCTTTTTTGTTTAATAAAAATTTTTGTAACAGTAAAAGAATCTTATCAAAATCTGATATTCCCAGAGAATACCCAATGCAAAAAATTTATCGAAGTCAAATATAATATACATATAATAATTATTCTGTCTATAAACTTATGTGTCTTAAAAAATATCCTAATTTGAAGTGTAGCTGCAGCTATAATTTTAGATACACCAGATACAGTAACTTAAAATATTTCAACTGCCAGCTGAATAACTTTTTTCTGGTGAAATTTAGGAATAAGTGATATTTATAAACCCTCTGCAATATAAGGTATTAAAATACTCTAAATACTGCTAGTCTAAACATAAAAGTATTATATGAATTACTTAAAGCCTGACCTGTGAAAAGGAACAAAATGTCATTGTCAAATTAGAGATATAAAAATACATTTGAAAACAAAGACATATGACAGTTGACATTGACAATAACGTTAATTTAAAAGTTTAAAATGTAAACAATTTATAAAAACTTTCTTTGTTATAATTAAATTATAAAAATGCAGCGACAAAGATTGTCTCGTGAATTATTAAAAATGTCTTCGTCTCCACCTCAAGGAATTTGTGTTTATTCAAAAGACGATCAATATCACTTAGAAGCAAAACTTACCGGCCCTCAAGATAGTCCTTACAAAAATGGTGTTTTTACATTAGACATAGTAGTGCCAGAAAAATATCCCTTTTCACCACCTTCAATTACATTTGTGACAAAAATTTACCACCCAAATATAGATGATAATGGAAGGATATGCTTAGATTTAATTAAGATGCCCCCAACAGGTAGCTGGAAGCCCACCATTGGATTAGAAGGATTATTAACTGCTATTAGAATGTTGTTGGAATGTCCCAATCCCGATGATCCTCTCATGGCTGATATAGCAGAAGAATTTAAGAACCACCATCAGATCTTTTTAGACAAAGCTAAATCATTTACTGAAAAGTATGCACAGGGTTGAGCTGTATACATGCATCTAATACTCATTTAATATATTCATTAAAATTTTGTAACATTTGTTCTTTATAAGAATTTGTTAATATTTTGTAATTATAACCTATTCTTTATCCTAGTGTATTTTTGTTTTACTATATATCAAAACATAATAACAGTAGACAGATCTGATATTGTACAACTAACAGTCCACACACATTTTCCCACTCCATTGTCTAAGATTCTTCAACCAGGATGTGCATCTTCTCCCTGGTCCTCTTTTGCATTCTATGTTCCCTGGTATGACCAGCCGCATCAATTTGTATTTCTTGTTTCTTATTATCTGACCAAAGTAGCTCATTTTTCTTTTCTTTATTAGTGTTAAGTATTTCTTTATCTTTCTTTCGTTCTTCGTAGTGTTACCGAATTTGTTATATTTAAGATATTTCCACATTCTTCGATAACACCACATTTCAATTAATGAGACTTTTGTCTGTCGCTTTGTAATTGTCCAGGCTCAACTTTATACAACAGGACAGAGAACATGTAGCATCTCAATACTCTAGTTCTCAATAATTCTCAATAGTAATAGTAATAGTACTCAATAATTTCAATGTTGAGTTTCCACTGCATAATATTGCTTTCATCTTATTAAAACCACTTCTAGCTATCTCAATACGCCGATTTATTTTTATACTCCTATCCCATTCTTCATTTAGTTCAAAACTTAAGTATTGATATGTATTTTTGTTTTATTCATATTCAGTGCCATTTCATACCATTCGCAGTATTGGGTAATACAATCAACCTAGCATATTAAATGTCATTAAATCATTCTACTAGTGTGCCGATATGATTTTTTGTTAATATTCTTAAGATTTCTGTAGGTACTTCATCTAGTTCCATGGCCTCATTTTTTAAACATTTTAGTGCTGTCTCAATTTCGTCTATGGTGATTGGTGGCCCATTTCTTCCTCTTGGTTCATGACCTCAATTTTCTCGTCGTCTTCGAATAGCTCTTTTATGTATTCTTCCCAATCTGTACATTCCATTATTATCTTGTTATTTTTATCCATGATATTTTCGATACCTTCTTCTTGTATGTGACTGTTGTCTCTTTGATTTTCTGGTGTATGTTAAAACTCATGTTGTTTATCTAACCTTTCTATTTCTTCACACTTTTCTGATAGCCACAGTTCCTTAACTTGATTTTCTGTTTGATTATTTTACTAATTTTTTTGTACTGTTGTTCATTTTTATTCTTGTGTGGCTTCTTTTCCGTCATCAGTTCTTTTATCTCTTGTGTGATCCATTGTTTATTTTTAGATGATGTGTCTTCTTGAAGTTTTTTCTTTGTGATGTTTCTCAAGATCTCCTCTACTTTCCTCCATTTATCTGTTGCTGTCAATTGCTTTTGCCTTTCTACTTACTGAACTTCCTTGTGCACTGTTGTTTAATTTGTTGGTATATATCAGTTTCTTTTAATTTTCTCAGATTGATTCTCGGTGTTTTGACAGCAGTTTTTAATTTTTATAACTTAAGTTTCATGTTTGCTAGAACTAGATTATGGTCACTTGTTATATCTGCTCCTAAGTACGCTTTAGCCGATATTATGGCCTTTGGGAATCTTTGATTTATTATTATGTAATCTATTTGGTTTCTTATTATAATTTCACCATCATCTCTAGGTAGGTGCTTTCCATGTATATATTCTTCGATTTGGGAGTTTATACCACATGTTTTTGATAATGAGTTTATCTTTACAAAACTGAACTAATCTTTCACCTCTTTCACTACATTTTCCCAGTCCGTGTTCTCCTACTACTTCTCCATCTCTTCCTTTCCCTACCTTCAAGTTGAAGTCAGCTAAAATGAAATTTACTTCTTATTTTTTAGTTTCATTTAATGTTTTGTTAAGTCATTGTAGAAGATGTTTACTTCTTTCTCTGTGCTATCATATATTGGTGCATACTACAGTGATGTTTATGTTGCACGGTATAGCATTTAATTTCAATAGTGCCATTCTATTGCTGACTAATATTTTTTTATTTTGTCATTTATATTGTTAGTTTAGAACGTCATTTACATTTTTTCTTATATTTGAGATCAATCACCATTCTGTGACATTCTATTACATGATTAGCATTTTTGGCAGGTTAGCAGCTGCTAAATTTTAGCCTATTTCAGAAAAAGGAAACAACCAAATATTTAATACTATATTTATTATCAATCTTTAAATGTGTATTTTAGAATAATGTAATAAAAACACAGAATAAAATTCGAATAAAATGTAACAAAACAATAACTATAATTTTTGTAAGAAACAACACAAACCAGCTAAACACACTGTAACAACAAGGTTACTAAATGGTTTTAATAGTCATACAATCACTACATAAACATTCACGTCTGCTAGTCTTATCTCTTCAATATCATCAGGTAAAAGCATATAAAATATATTAAATATTAAATACTAAGACAGCCTGATACATTTTTGTCTTCGCCTAGTGATTAAAACAATACCCACATGATTTGTTTGCCTTACATTACGTTTGTTGAAATGTTAGTAGATTTCACACAGTTCAGTGTGTTGTTCATGAAAAGAAAAACGAGTACCGTGAAGTGATAAAATTCATCATAAAAGAAATTCATATGTGGCTTATAAAAATGTATAGTGTATTTGGAACATCAGAGTATGAAGTTGCGTGAAATTTGCAATTCTCTAGGAATGTCAAAGAATATAAATGGTTATGTTCATACAAATGGTGTGATAACTGCGGATGACAAATGTTTTCGCAAATTTTCCCTAAAAGTGCATGCCCCAGATTAAGAAATCAATAGGAGTAATGTCTGGCGACCTTAGAGGCCAAGGTTCGTTTCCATGTCTACCGATCCATCCAGGAAGATGCTGGTTTAGCACAATCTAGCTTCGTGATTGCCATCCTGATAGTAAAACTGTTATTAAAAAACACAAGTTCTTCCATCTCTGTGTATATATAAGTGGCATCAGAGTGAATCGGAATTACATTGAAAAACGTTTTTAGTAGGAGTACCATATCTTGCAAGTATGTAGCTGCTACTAAAGTGTCAGTATTTTTAATGTGTATGTATGTACAGCGTTAACTGGCCTTTTAGGTCCATTGCTGGATGGATAATTTCCATCGTTTTCTGTTCTTAGCTAACAGCTTCCAATCTCTCTGATATCTTCCATCACTACATTTCTTTCTTGGTCTTCTTCTCTTTGTTTGCCCTCATGTACTCTCTAAGCAATATTCTTGACTAGTCTATTAACTTGCATTCTTTCTAGATGTCCGAGCCATTCTAGTCTTCGTTTTTTCACCACTTTTGTTATTGTAGGGTTAGCATATAAATGGTACACTTCTGCATTGATTCGTCTTCCACCGTACATTCAGCGAAATATCTTTCTTTCCCATGCTTCCAATCTGTTCTGTATGGTTTTGTTTATAGTCGTTGCCATGTCTAGGCAGCGTATAGCATTGTGGGTCTAATTATAGTTTTGTATACTCTTATTTTTGTATTACGAGATATATCTTTGGCCTTAATTATTTTGCTCATGGCTCCAGCACACCTGTTATTCTTGGTCAGTCACAGATTGATTTCAGTTTCTTCGTGGTGTTTTTTAACATGGTGTTCTTCATTAACATCCAAAATAGAATCCTAAAGTATCATTTACACGAGGACATTACACCATATAATAATAGTTTATTACAAATTTATTGGTAGGTAGAGCAAAACACATCGTTTTAAAAATAAATTTACCTTCTGGTATAATACCTATTGGCACTTCATTGTCAGAATGTGCTAGAATGGCAGAAGATAGAAAGACGTGGATGATCACATTAACGAATAAGCAGAATAATACCTATTACTCTGTCTCTTTACCTAAAATATCCAATTCTAGAATTATGTATGAAAATATTATTTCGTAATTCTCTCACGGCATGAACATTTTATATACTTTTACCAAATCTTTCTAATATCCTATAAAAAATACCTTTTGTATTAAATCTAATCTTCAGATTTTACTATTGGACACAATGTTAACATAATGATGTTTAAAAATGCATTATTATTATTTTTTAAAAAACTGGTGAAGCTCAAAGTGCAGATTATTTGATTTTGTCGTGCACATTTTTTAGTATGCGTTACGCCAATATACAAAGTGTTCTATTAAAATAATAATAAACTTAATGTTTAATTTAAAAATAAGCGGTATATCTCAATGTAGGCGAAGAGTACACAAAAATTAAAACAGGAAACATCAAAATGCTTTAACAAGTTCCAAAGATCTATGTTTTCAACTGTAATTGTTAATAACTAACAAAATACGAAACGCTCCTTCCTGCGCTTTTATAAATCCGAAGCTGCAACTGGATTGTTGATTTTCCAAGTGCATTTACAATTATTGAATATTATAATAATGGATAACCATAAGATGTTAATTAGATTGCTTCCATCAAGAGTTCCATATAGTGGAACTCTAGGAGTAGTTTACCCCCTGCATGCAGTTGATTAACTCGAACTCACTGGATACTCATAATTACTTTATTGGTTCTCTAAGTACAATAATAGAGAGAGTACCCAGTTGACGGATGACAACACTGGATGCTACGATACCTTACAACTGAAAGAAAGCTTTCAACTTATTTTTGGAAGCATAGCTTTTTTCAAAAGCAACTGGAACGATAAAATTAAACGACCATATACTTCACGAAGTAGTAAACGCAGTCCAATGCGTGTTTCTTGAAAAGAAAGCTCTGCTTCCACTAGGCCGTCACTTCCAGAGTGCCACATCCCATTTTTTTTAGATATCGTTTACTGTTTAATGCTGACATGAAATATAGAACACTTCATATATATTAATCTGCAGTAAAATTAAGAACTACTAATAATCACTATGAGGTCAAAGCTTTGGCTTTAAAATGTTGTTTAAAATTCTTTAAAATTCTAAATCTATGGTCGTTCATAAGAAAACTAGCTTTGGCATAATTGTTATATTTTATTCTAAAAAATTGTGACGTTCATACGTGCGATACAACTTTTTCATCTTCTTCTCCTTCCTCCTCCTCTTCCTCTTCCACTTCTTCGACTTCTTCCTCTTCATCGCTGATATATTCAACTACTTCTTGTTCGATTTCTTCTCCGTTTTCGTCTTCGCTTTCCTCTTCATATTCTTCATCGTATTCCACTCCTTCGTCATCTTCTGCATCTTGCTGTACTTGAGAATTTTCCTTAAAAGAATATATTTAACATTAGAATTAGTTTATGCGGACCTCTAGGCATTATACACATTAAATATTATTTGACGACCCTACTTTTTAATAACACTACGTTTTTTTCCGTCCGTTTTCAGCAAGATTGTTTGAAAATAAAATAATCTAATATTTAAAACATACAACATGTTCTCAACTGCACTGCTGCGCTACTGAGTAATGAAGTGATTTACTGCTAAGGCGTGGCTTAGGTAGAAATTTCAAATTTTGACCTCTGTCCAGTGCGATAATATGCAAATTAGATGTCTTCCTAAATGACGGGACCTCTACGATTTTTTACATGGTGATTTTTTACATTTACATAAAGCGAATTGTAGTGTTAACGATTATTTTCAATTTGGGTGGCAATTAGAAGGTAATTTTCCTAAAAATGGATTATTTTTTAAATTTTGGCGCTTGACGAATAAGAATCCACTCTAGACAAGCTATTACTCCGTTTGTATTTGATCTAGAGACACAATCGATTAAAAGAATGATTTTTACGATAAAATCCTTACTTTTTGAGTTATTTGCGGAAAACCGTCTGAAAATATGGATTTTTTGGTCGAAAAGTATTTACTTTTGGAAAAAGCTTTAAACAACAAAAGTTACTTAAAAGTAATCAATCTATTCCTGAACTTAGTAGAGAGTAAGTATGAAAATCCGTGTTGTTTAACAAAATTATAGGAAAAAACAGTCATTGTCTGGACTACTAGTATAGTATTTTAAATAAACCATGTCAAAACATCTTATACCTTGAAGTAAAAGACAATTATTACCTCTGTCAATCCCTGGGCCGAACTAATAATCCAAATGACGTGAAAATTTGCACTTGCAAGCCACTCCTCCCGACATAAAACTTAATTCAAATCGTATGTGGGTTTTAAGATACTATATGAGGAGCAGACTTTCATATCGCACTTTGTCCATTTTTAAAATTTTTCAGGAAATGAGAAAAACTGCTACTCGATTATTAATAAAGTTAAAAATAAAACACAAAATATGAAAAAATGTAATTTTTTATTATCAACTTACCCTATTTATAAAAAACAACAAGCTTTATTAGTTTTTTCAAAAAAAAATTTTTTAATGACGGACAAAACGCCATTTGATTGTCTTTGAAGGACAAAATGTGGTTTTATTTTCCCTAAGTGATTAAAATCAACATATGAACTGAAAATTCGTGTTTGTAAAGCAATATCTGTAGTAAAAAAAATCATATGACATGTATTTCGTCCTCCAGAAGACAGCAGCATTCTTCTCCATCTTCACATTGATCGCAGGTCTGGTCCTTTTCAATTACATTTTCACCATACTGATCCTTCAAAATTGGATCTAACCAAGTTAATTCTGGATCTAATGCCCATTCTTTGCCTGATAGACTAACTAAAAATTTTGATAAGCTATCCAGTTTTTTCTTCTTAACAGCATGCTTCGTTGGCAATTCAGAAGTACTATGTCACTTAGTTTTTTCTTTGGTTGAATTAAATTTGAAAACTTTTTAGAATTGTCATCATTTCTGTATAAAACCTATGTTTTATACAAGATTTTACTTTCCCCAGCAGTTTGTTTGCCTCGAGTTATGATGATTCTTTTGGCTTCACTGATACCTATAACTTTTTTGAGTGAAAGTGCTGCATGTTTTATGCCATACAAAGTCCAATCAGATCCCAGCTTGCGCACTTGTTCTCTCTTAAAATAGATTTCATAATATTTTTCTGGTGACTTTATAAAAGCATGGGCACGTAAGTCTAGCTCAACTTGACCAAAAACTCGATGAGCTGGCATAAACGAATGGCACGAACGGGAAATGTCATTGTAAGTGTTTGAATAGTTTTTGGGGCATTATTCAAAAGCCACAAGGTGAGTGCATGTACCATGTGGGAATTTTTATTTTGACCCCCACATCCGTCCGAAAACAATCTTAAATGTTTAATATCTGGGTCAAAATCAGTCTTTTTTAGAAAGTCAGTCAACGTAGAACTTATTTCTACCACACCTCTTCCTGCTTCATGCTCAAGCCATGTATAAAAAAACAGGAGTTTTTGTTAAAATATCTGTCACACAAAATGCATAAAAAGCCAGTTGCTGAGAATAGAATGCTTCCGTAATAGGCGCCTTTGGAAGATTTTGGACTGTTGAAGATCAAAGCAATATGTCACGCTATCAGCAGATTCCTCTTTCATTGATTTAAAAAACTGCTTTGCTCGCGTCTTATGAATAGTTAAATCCATTTTTAATTTTAATCTTTGCTCTTCATCCTTGGTGGTATTTATCTCAGTGTTTGTTCTTATGCAAAAGCCACAAACATCAGTAGCTGGACTTAAAAAGGCTAAAACAAACGGGCAACTTAGTAAAAAATAAAAAACATTTTTTTAATATCTACCTATATTAAACTTATTGCTGAAAATTCGACTAAAGTACTTGTAGTTTGTTTGGAGTGAATTATCTGGAATCTGATCATTATACATCTCCCACAGCTTTTTTATGTTTAACTCAGATGACAAATAGATTCTTCTTGACTTGCCTCTACCATAGTGGCTTTCATGGCCCTTCAAAGACGAAATAAATTTCATGACACTTTCTAATTTAAGCGCATTTTTCTTGGACTTTCTGTCTCCACCACGATTGTCTTTTATACTAGTGCTAAGCGTCTTTTTTCTCACTATCGTATGAATTCTTCTTGGACCACAATTAAAAATAGAAGAAAATAATTTTTGGCAAACAAAAGATTTTCTTGCTATTATGCCAAACCTAAAAAATAGTCAATCAGAGACCTTACAAAGTGTAATCGAAAAATAAATATGTACTGATGATAAAGCTTGGTTTATTTAAACAAAAACTTACATAAAATTCTGTGTGAAAATCATGTGATTTACCTTTCTTTCTCATCCTTTGCCTTTTTATTTCCTAATATTCATCATTTGTGCTAATTTGTTATCCTGAGCATTTTTGATCTTTTCTTCATTATCATAGAAATTTTGTCTAATATTTTTTATGTCGGCCAACAAAAGATCTGTAATTGCAAATTTGTTTGATTTGTGAACACAATTATTTTTAAAATTCAATAACTCTGGATCTAAATCTGAATATCTAAAAGAAAACAAATTAAACCACAAAAACACAACATAACCTGTAGTTTACATTATTTCTCTCTTACGTTCTTTTGCCGTCGTATTTATTTTTCTTTTTCTCGTTCCTCTATTTGTATCACCTACAATATGCTCACCTTCACTCATTTTAATACTATTATCACCTATTATTATTATAAAAAACAACCTATTAAGCACGAATAATATCAGATACTGTTGATTCCTAAATCAACGTCTCAGAGCAAAATAAAGTTAAATAGTAAAAAAGCAATGCAAGCAAAATAGCGCTATTCGTTTGTCTCTCGCTACTGGACAAAATGCGTTTTGTTTGTCTAAGTGATTTTTGAAGCCAAAAATATACGTGAAATTTACGTTTAGAATATCTAGGAGTATGTAAATTAATAAATGATGTTTTGACTAATCCAACGCCACCTCTAAGTCAAAAAGTGAAAATATGGACAAAGTGCGATTTGAAAGTCTGCTCCTCATATGTTCTAAAGAGATATTTTTTAATCCATCTAAATCACCAAACATCTTTCTATGCTATCAGTATTATCAACAACATAATTCAACAACTTACTTGTAACACTGCTCCTTGCTTACTTTCACCCTGGAGGACGTCTTCTTCATTTTCATAATCGTCTTCAACTTCCTCGTCACTTTCTAGTACATAGTCCTCACCTTCCACCTCAACTACATCTTCTACGTCGGCAGGCTCCTCTACAAACTCTTCTTTTTTTATGGTACTATCAGTCTTATCTTTGTCTTGTCTTTCGATATCACTCTTATCTTGAGGTAGAATGTCTTCGTTGCTGGACTTAACTAAGGTACTGTCCACTTCTGTAGTTTTCTCAGGGATGTTTTCACTGACTTCTACACTATCTTTAACGGTATCACTGGTTGTTTGTTCACCCACGACACCTTCTATTGGTTTATCTTCACCTAGTTCTGCGCTTATTTTTGAACCATCCAGTTCTTTCTTATTTTTGTCAACTTCTAAAATTGCGTCAGATGTTTGACTACCTAAAATATTAGACTCTGAAACTTTTTCTACCTTCTGTTCGTTGTTCTTGTCTAATTCTTTTGAAGTAGCGGGTATAATAACCTCTTCAATGACATATTCTTCTTTAATTTCATCAATAATTTCTTTTACTTCTTTTGATTCGGGTAGATTATCTTTTTCAACGGTCATTTCTTCCTGTTCCTTTTCAATTTTGATTAAATCTCTCTCTATTTGTTCAATTTGATCATCTATATATTCAGTTGATTTTGTTAAATTTTGTTCAGTTTCTGACAATAATTCATCTAGTTCTTTTTGTTTGTCTTGAAAAGTCTCGCTAACAGCTTCTACCTTTTCAGCGATTAAATTTTCGACAGAAGCTAATGAAGGTTCCTGTTTAGTTTTAGATATAACCTCTGCTTTCTCTTCAGCTTCATTTTTATTTTCTGTAGATTCTTGCTCTATTTCAGGATAGCCTGAATCAATAGCTTCCGCAATTTGCTTAATGCATTCCTCTGTTTCGAGAGCAACAAACTGTGAACTTTCTTTGGGCTCCTTCAAGAGTTCAATTTCAGTTTCCTTAAGGCTACCAATTTCAGCTTCTGCTATAATGTTATCGATTTGTTCTTCAAGTTGCGCCATATCGATTTTCTCGAACTCCTCAGATACGTTACTGCTACTTCTGTCTTCGTTCTTCTTTCCGGAATTGGAAGATTCGTCGGTGCCATTTTCTGTAAAAAAGAATAAAATTTCTATTTGAACGAACGATTGAAATTTGTTCTAGAATAAACGTTCACGCAGTGATGTGAATTTGTTTTTGTGCAAAGGATTCAATCGGGTACTGTTAGATATATTAATAGGATTGGATTCTAGTTCACAAGTTCATGTTATTACAGATTAGATCAAACTGTTGTGTTTTCGAAAAATATATTTTGTATCAGTACGTCACATTATGTGAAAACTCTATAAATAGCATAGATTCTTTTTAAATGGACCCTACGGGATCAATATTAACATAAATATATTGCATACCAATTGGCTTTATGTAAAAATATTGACTATCTATCTACAGACGTGTGCAAAATAGCTCTATTATATGCTAACGAGCAGAATTTAAACAGTTTCGATACCTTTTATCAAAACGACCTTATTGAGCGTCACAGACGGAAGATGGTTCCTGATAACTCATCATCAATTAGCCTATATTTGTCCACTGCTGAACGTAGGTCTCCCGTAAAATTTTCCACCTATTTCTATCTTGAGCTTCCTGCATCCATTTTGTGGTGACGCGTCCATCTAGTCGGTGGTCTTTCTACTTCTAGAATCTTTCTGGTCCATCTAATATCCGTTAATCTGGCAACATGTCCGGCCCAAGCCCATTTAGCCATGGCTATTTTTTCAACTGCATCTGTCACTCCTGTTCTTCTTATTTCTAGGTTTGGTACTTTATCTCTGATGGTAATACCTAATATTGATCTTTACATAGCACGTTGTGTAACTCTTATTTTATCTATTGTTCTTTTTGTCAGAGTCAGTGTTTCTGCACCATATGTAAGAACTGGTAAAACGCACTGGTCAAAAACCTTTATTTTTAAACAAACTGGGATAATAGGCTTGAAAATCGTATTCAAGCTACCAAAGGCAAGTCGAAGACACTCAATTCTGCTTCATAAACATATTGGAAACTCGAAAGATTCTATTCTCGCTCAGTGTACCTACACAGAGAGCATGAGGCATGAATGTGAAAATATACGCCTGCATCATAGACTACCCCAAAGTTTTTGACTGCGTCCAACATCACAAACTAGCAAAAATATTCAGAGCAACTGGCATAGACGAGGGTGACTTACGAATAATTACAGAACCCTACTGGCACCAGATAGCTCAAGTAAGGGTGGAGAGTAACATATCTGCGGAACTCGACATAAGAATGGGAGTGCGACAGGGATTTATATTATCCCCACTCATCTTTAATTTGTATTTTGAAAACATTTTCGAAGATAAGAACTTCTTGTTTAGAAGGCATAAAATCAGAAGGCGTTAGAAATATTATTTTAAACTTGTCCATAAATTGTCTGGCAGATAAAAAGAGACAGAGACTAAAATATCTGACAAAATTGGTAAAAGTATTGTTTCTAATTAACATTTCATATAATTAAAAATTATGTTGTAAAACACCTAAAAGCTTTTCAAAGAGACATTTTTCGAAAACACAAAAACAACTAGTAAATAATCCAAACTATTTAACATACCCAGTTTTTTAAACGACTGCAACGATATAATACAGCTACAAAGTAGATGGAAGATACAAAAGAACAAAACTTGAAAACAAAAAATATATTTCAACAAAGATAACATTGGTTTTACATCTTCTACAGTTTATTCTAGAAAAAATTTCTATGGACAAAATACAATATTGAAATCGTGTCAGTAAAGATCAAAATAAAATGTAATTGTTTGTTTGAATTTCACCATTTAGGTAAAAGCAAGTTTTTACTCTTTGTACTTTTGGATGTTATCATAAAAAATATTTATATTACAGGTGCTACCATACCCAGCGAAAACACATTTCCATAATACTCTTTTTAATAATCTCATACATCTCATAGAAAATGGTCCAAATTTTTTTTGCATAAAATACATGGAAGGGAACAGCTACCTGATACAATGCTTGGTGGAAAAGATGAAATGAAGCAACATTTATAAAAAGATGGCAGATCAGTGTGAAAGACTTCCAGAAATGCAATAAAGAAATACACCAGCTGTTTATAGATTTCCGACAAGTATATGATAATACCGTGAGAGATACTGTGTGGATGGCCATGGCAAATATATGGGTGCACCGTAAAGTTATTAATTTAACTAAAATATGTATCGGGAATTCAATGGCAAAGATCAAAGTCGAGAAATATACCACGGTAACGTTCTCTATTAAGATGATTTCAAATAAAGAGAAAAACTATGGCCACTACTCTTCAACTGCAGATGTTTTCAAACCAGGGCCTCTGAACGATTCTGGAATACGCTGACCTCTATAGACCTGTAGGCAGTAATATCACCAGAACAAAGAAAATGTTTGTGAAAACAAAAAATAGGACTCAAAGAATGTCAAACGCAGAAGTTACTAGAAGAATTGGAAATAAAGGTGAAATATTATTGATATGACTATCAAAAGAAGAAAACTTGAGTACTTATGACATGTGGTGAGAGGGCCAAAATACTCATTATTGCAACTTATGCACGGCAAAATTCGAGGAAAGCGAAATGTGGGAAGACGAAGAATATCATGACTTAAGCACTTGAGGAAGTGGTTTGACATGATAATTTCCAACCTTCGATGGAAGATGAAACTTGAAGAAGAAGTAGATAGAGACAAAATAGAGAGCAAATATGAACACATACAATTTTAAAGGTGTAAAAGAATTCCAATATATGGGTGCCACTATTACTCACGACGATATGAGCAGCGAAATACGGACAGAAATACAAAAAGGTTACATGGAGCTTTTATGCATTATACTATATATTGAAATCAAAGACACTGTCCACATCAAAAATATAGAAGAGACCAGTAATAATACACCGCTCAAAAATGTGGACCATAACGAAACACAACGAACTAAGATGGAACGCAAAATACAGAGAAAATGAGAAAACTGGACAATATCGAATTAGAACAAAGGAATAAAGACCAGAGAAAGACCAGAGGCCATGTGCAGAGGGCCCAAAACGAACGGCTCATCAAACGGATATGGGAGATTTAAATGGCATGGAATACAAGATTGGAGATAAGATATGACGAACCGAAGTAAATGGAATAAATAGTACAAGCAGCAAAGACCCAGGAAAGGTTGTGAAGCTGCACATAGGGAGAAAGAGAGAACAGGAGAGGGAAAAAAGTAAGAGACTAGTTGTAGCACTACTAAGATGAAGACGCCGCCGATGGACTAACCCAGAATTGTGCGATGCCGCTGATCGAACAAAGGGAACAAAGAAGTAACGAAACGACTAGAAACACTGAAACGAATAAAAAGAAGAATCAATTAAACTCTAAAACAGACATCATGATCAGGGCTACTACAAGTTTAGTTTAGTTCCTTTCCTAGTAAGTTTTGTCAGTCGTTCCTGATCATTGTCAACAATTGAGAATCAGCCAATATTCCTCACGTCTTTGTCTGTACTATCTTTCCACTTCAGCTTTAGCATATCCCTACTTTCATTTCCCCCAGACATCAATAACAGGATTCATGTGTGATAAATTTACAAGAATTTGAAAAATTCTTCTATAATAGAATTTTAATTGTTCGTGCGAAAATCGGTTGTTCCGATTCAAAATTGAGTAATATCGTAAGAGTTTGTCGAATAACTTTATTTTGGCAGGCAGGCATGAAACCGTTCATAAAGTATAACTAAAGTAGACATATGTATACAAAAAAAAACCTCTTGAAGGCCAATAATGAAAGGATTTGCAGTAATAATCATAAATGTATAAGTTTAAAATCATTTTTAAGGATGATAACCCAAAACTGGTGAAATTAAAACAAAAGACAGGTTGCAGATCGATGAACTATTATACACGAAGCTTTTTAGCTGTCTATGGCTGTACCTATATAACTTAAAACTAAAAATAAATATTTAACAAATAAATATTAGGAAATCATTTGGTCGGTTACTAAACTAATCAATAACGAGGAAAAATATAGTTGTTGTTTGAGTAAATAAAGAAATTTAAGTTAAAAAAAAATATAAGTATGAAATATGTACAGTTATCTTAATTCTAAAGAATTCAAACTCAAAAGAGATATTCAACTAAAGCAATAAGAGTGATACTCATACAACTATAATAATTCAAGTGTATGCATCTACAACAGAAGTAACAGAAGAATGGTAGAAGAACTATACCATAGCATTAATCCAAGTTGCGAAAAGGTTGTAAAAGCAATACCTAACAATTGTCATGGATGACTTCAACGCCAAAGTTGGGGCCAGAAAAACATCAGCATGCAGTTGGACCACTTAGACTAAGAAACCGGAACGATCGAGGAGATACATTGGAGATTTTTGCGGAAGCAAATCAATTAGTAATAATGAACACCTGGTTTAAGCTACACCCAAGGAAATTGTATACCTGGAAATCTCCACAGTATTCTGTTGGAAGGATTACAAGAAATTAACTTAAGAACAGCTGTACATATGTCAAAATATACTCGGGGGTATGTGAGGTATGATCAGGTACCAGTTGCAGGTAATTTCAAAGTCAGAATGAAGAAGGTTATAAGTAGGTCAATGAAAAAGTATGATGTTAGAAAACTGAAAGATACCACTGTTCGACTAAAGGTGAGTAAAAACCTCAATATAAAGGTGATAAGTCTGAACGGAATACAAGAAACAGTGAGAGAAATAAAAGAACAACACCTGAAGAAAAATACAGAGAAACAGAAATTGTAGATGACCGATGAAATACTTGAACTTATGGACCAGAGAAAAAAACACAGAAAATCTCCAAGAATATAAGAGAATAAGGAGCATTTGGTCAATATCGTGAAATAATGAAAAATCAAGGCAGATATGAGCTACTCCAATGCATTTTGCAAGGTCAAATTAAAAGAAAAGGGGCCCCAGGACGAAGAAGAAGAATATCCTGGCTTGCTAACCTGAGAACATGGTATAGAAAGACCTAAACACAGCTATTACGTATAGCAACCAACAAAGTCATCATAGCCAGAATGATCGCCAACGTTCGGACCAGATAGACACCTAAGAACAAGAATAAGGATAGTTAAGTAAGATGTGAAATTACAAAGCCAATAAAGTAGAGGGTTGCCTAAACGACATGGTATGGAGATATCAACAACTTTCAGCATCAAGGCTAAAGTTTACAAGACACGACACTAGTAGAATAATGTTTATTAACATGTTTTAGTCTAGAGCCAGTATAGAAGACAAGAAAAATTCTACACAAATAAGTTTCACTTAAAAAGAGCTGCAGGTCTATGAAAAGTGTTAATGTTATCAGCACCTTTTCATATTTTTAAATTTTTAAAGCAATTATCTTATATAAAAATTTTAAATTCATTAAATATTTTCAACTATTTCTTTATTTACTTAAAACGCTCTTAATCCTATCACATAGATACAATTTCGTTTGTTGTCTATCATCATTCACAAGAGTTATTTCTTCAGTCCTAGTCTTTTAGTCTTTAGAATTTTCAGGTAACAATAAGATCACTTTTTGTACTTACCGGAAGAATCCAGACTAATGACGGACAAAGTCATCTTTCCAGCCAAAACTACCGCCGGATCTTCTTCGGCGTCGACTTTTTGGGCTTCCGTGGCGGAATCAGTTACTAGAAGATGCGACTGAGGTGGTAGGGAGCCTTCCAAAAAGATTTCCTATAAAATTAAAGGAAAAAGAAGGAAATCAAATGAATAAGTACGTATTAAAAAAAGAAAAACAAGAATTATAAGACAGTTATTAATCCGACACATAGTGAAAATAGTGGAAGTGACTTAGCAGAAAAACTGGAACAGTGGAGACAAGAATTTGAGGAAAAAGGTTTAAAGCTTAGTAGGACAAAACAGAGTATTTGGAATGTTCATTTAAAGATTGAGTTTGTACAAATGAACTGATATATTTGGATGGTGAAATGATTGTGAAAAGTAATAGTTTTAAGTAACTAGAATCGGTGTTACAGGGTAATGGGGGAATAGATGAAGATGCATGTAGTAGAATTAGGGTTGGATGACTGAAGTATAAGGTGTGTGTGTTGTGTGACAGAAAAATTCCAATGAAGCTGGGGGTAGAACTAGTTCGCGTCCGTAGTAGAATACTACACGTGCACCCTGGGGTAACGCTAAATGAACTAGCAAATACTGGCGGTCAGATAATCTCAGGATTTTTCAGGACAACAGTGCATCCTATCGACTTAGAGTAAGAGTACCTTTTAGTACTATAATACCTGCAAATTGAATAATCTAGTATCACGACCGCCTAAAAGGTAAATACAAAAAAGTTATGCGTTCAAATAACCTTTTACACCAAAACGGACGCCTATGATCGATACTAGACATTGGCAATTTATGAGATCGATTCAACTCTGGAGGATAAATAATCGTAACAGTTTCGTTTTTCTAACTCGAAGCGTTCTGGGGGTATTTAAAGAACTAATTACAAGGCGCCATCTTCAAAGAGCTCTAGCTCCCTTAGGAAACATTTTCGGATAGGTGAATTGAGTTAAATTATCTTAAAATTATCTGAGGAATGTCCAGTCTTCGTTTGTCAGTAAAGTTTCTAGACACCCTGTACATCTACTAGTAACCATAGTTCTACCAGACCTCTTGAGTTCCGTAAATAAATAATGTAATTTTGAACAATATATTATTTTATTTCTATTGTGATTAAGATGAAGTTTATCATGTACCTGAGGTGGTGTATCGGAGAAGTGTGGGTGAGCTGCTGACACCGATGGTGAACCGGAGCGGTTCCACTTTTGACGTTTTCCCGACTAGCGGTAGTTTCCATACCGAGAACTTGGACTGAAGACTGATCGTCTTCCTGGTTAAGAAGAGATCCGTTAGCCACAACTTCTTCCTGTTAAGAATATAATATAAGTTTTAAAAATGATCAAAACAATTTGAATTTAGTCAACGTGGTAAGAAAACTCAAATGCTTAGTTATATTAGAAAAACAAGACACACTAAAACTACAATAGTTGTTAAATTATTTATTACAATAAAAAAAAAGAAAAGTAAAACACCTGTAGTGATATACAGTGTGGAAACCACTTATGGAATAAAATTGTTTTGTGTTCTTATAGAAAATAATAAAATACTCTGGGGAAACGACAACTTTTAAATTTAAATGAGCGCTTTTTAAGCATAAATTTAAACGTACAGGGTGATCCACGCAAGTCTGGCATAGTCTATAATCCTTACTTTTAATGAAACACCCTGTATATTTTTATGTTTTTAAAAGATTCTTAACAACCTGATTTCAACGAACTATATCATGTAGGATCTATAATTAATAATACAAGGTGAAATTTTGAAATTAATAATTCATCACGTATGATGGTGTTATTTTAAATTAGCTAATTACAGACAATAAACTTCTACTCAAAGTGTCAGTAGTTATATTGGGGAAAATTTCTGTTTAGTAATCTTGTTAACATTTTTTGTAATGAATAGGTAAAAACTGTCTAGATAGTCTGCTAATTAAACTAAATCGGTAAATAATGCAGATTGCTATCAATCGGTTGTTGGTGTGTTGACATTTTACATTAAATAATAAATTCCTAATTAAAAGCTAATTTCTTGCAGAAATAAAAATGAAATATTTAACTGAGACCCACCCACCTAATTGAGATTTTATTGATGAGCAGTTACGGAGAGAATTGTAGAAGTTAGTTGAAGTAGCAAACTTATTTAACAGAGGTACCCTCGGTTGCCTAATATTTCACAAGGTACTGTGTCTAAAATGTATGCACGATTCAGAGAAATTTGACAAGTCAGACCATTAAAAAAAAACCGAACTTCATTGAAGATGAGGTGAAAGTGGATATTTGTTAAATGTCGCAGAGAATCCAACAGCAAGTTCACGTCAAATTGCACGTCAAAATAAGGTGAATCACACAACTGGCATAAGGTGAATTTCTGCGAAAGAATGATGGATAGAATTAACACAAATGAAATAGCTCTTGGCACAATTCTTTTTTCTGATGAATCAACTTTTACATTGAACGGAGAGGTAAACCTACAAAACTGTAGATATTGGTCAGCGGAGAATCCTCATTGCAGTATACTCAAAAGTTGAATATTTGGGCAGGTATTATACGAGATCATATTATTGGTCCTATATTTGTGGATGGTAATTTGACAACGGAAAAATAGTTAAGCATGCTAAGAGACGAGTTCTTCCTCAGTTGGCTAACTTATATCCCAATCCAATAGATCCGACCTTACCGCACGAAACTGTCTCGTTCCAGCAGGACGGTGCAACACCCCATTATGCTTTACTGGTAAGAAATTACTTGAATGAAATCTTCTTCAATAAATGGATTGGACGAAGTGGTACCATTGAGTGGCCAGCTAGGTCGCCAGATCTTACGTCTTTGGATTTTTTCTGTGGGGTTATCTCAAGAACAAAGTATATGCAACACAAACAACTAGCATTGAAGACCTCAAAGAAAGAATAACTAAAGAAATACGGAATATTTTACCTCAAACTTTAAACAAAGTTCGGGACGAGTTTTATAGAAGACTGTGTTATTGCCAACAATAAGGTGGGAACATTTTGAGCATTTATTCTAATGTAATCCAATCAATTACCTCTAAGAATTAATTGTCTTGAAGGAAATTATACCTACATTCAAAATTTCACCTTGATTATTCATAATAGGCCCTACATGTGAAGAGATAAATGTAAAGAAGATCAGGATGAAACACAATTTGGCTTCAGAAATGGACTGGGAACTCGGGACGCCCTCTTTGCACTAAATGTATTACTGCAGAAATGTCGAGATCAAAGGAAAGACGTCTTTGCTGTATTTATTGACTATGAAAAGGCCTTTGATCGAGTACCGCATCACAAATTAATTACAATATTAAAAGATAAAGGAGTTGATGTCAAGACATACGATTCATAGAAAAGTTATACTGGCGTCACAACAGCGACAGCTTGCATAAACGGAAAATCAACAGAAATATGTAAAATACAAAGAGGTGTCAGACAGGGTTGTATACTATCCCCACTGTTATTTAATTTATATTCAAATAGAATATTTAAAGAAGCGCTGCATAATTTGGAATGGGGCGTAAACAGTTAATGGAATTCTGATTAAATACAATCAGATATGCAGGACGATCCAGTTATTTTAAGTGATGACATGAATGGATGTTACAATGCCTTTTAAATGCCATTGATAAAGTGGGAAGAGATTTTGGCTCGTAAACATAAACTGTTCAAAAACAAAACACATGGTGTTTAACCGTTTAGCACATCAAGATGCACGATTATATGTTGATGGTCATATAATTCAAAGAGTGTCTCAGTTTTAAATATCGTTGCCATAATTACTGAACAACTAGCTCCAGATCAAGAGATAAATGTAGAATCGAGATAGCCCGCACGACATTGTTAAAAATGAGGTCATTCTTTCTGTAATGATAACTTGCACTTCAACTTCGAAAGCGCATGGTTAAATGCTACATTTGGTCAGTCTTCTTATACGGTGTCGAAGGCATGGACATTAAAAATATCCACGATTAATCGTCTGGAGGCCTTTGAGGTGTGGTGCACCGACGTATACTAAAATATTCCTGGAGGCTATGCTGACAAATGTGGCAGTCCTTGAAAGAGCAAATGCTGCTCGCGAGCTGCTTGATAACATCAAATGTAGAAAGATGACCTATTTTGGACACGTAGTAAAGGGAGACCGATATTCTTCAACTTATTATGATGGGTAAAATCGATAGCACGCAGCGGAATTTGGTAGAAGCAGGCCTCTTGGTTGAAGAATATCAGGGAGGTGGACAGGATAAAGAACAGCTGAGACAACTATTTAGAATAGCTCGAGACAGAGACAGTTTCGCCATGTTAATCGCCAACGTCAAGGGGACTTGATACGGGCACGTTAAGAAGAAGAAGGCCCTACATGATATAGTTCGTTAAGATAAGGTTGTTAAGGAGCTTTTAAAAACATAAAAATATACAGGGTGTATAAACATAAAATACAGATTATGGATCTATGCCAGATTTGCGTGGATCACCCAGTACATTCAAATTTATCTCTAAGGTATCTCAACGTTTTTTATTATTTTCTAAAATGAGGACACAAACAATAAGTGGTTTCCACAGTGTTTGTGTGGTATACATTGTGCACTTGGATCTACTTTAGAAAAAAACTCCAATTTGGTATAAAAAATTTAAAGTTATCTCCAATACAACGGTCTAAAGATAAGGTGCGAGATACGTTTTTTCCTTTTGCTCAATAATTTTACAATCCAACTTTGTCCAATAAATTTGAAAATTTTCAAAATTGCAGTTAACTAATCTTAAATAAACTGTTTAAAACTGTATTAGCAAGGAAACTCAGCTATTAAAAATTGTGAGAGAACTGATAAAAACAATGAAGAAAGACTATCTGCTAGACAAATGATCTGAAAAAAGTTGATCACGTCGGAACAGAAGACATAAGAAGAGAAGAGGATCGCTACATTTGTGGGAGGTCTATATGCAATACTGAACGAAGTAGGCTTGATAATTATACTAATAGAGAACGATAAAATAGATAGTGATGATAAATCTTCTAAACAAAATCTAAAATTGCCCTGCAAAGTGATAACTAACAAAATAAATACTTTTACCAAGTTCATTGGTGAGCAGTTTCACTAAA